TGAAGGAGGGACACAGACAGAAGACATTATGAAAGTATAACTAGGCTGGGTGGTGAAGTCAGTGGAAAGTTTCCAGAGGCATTGGTTAGCAAATTTTTAAGTGTATGACACGTGGAAAGAATCTGGGACCTCATGTAGATCGATAACATGCCTATGTGGCATCTATTAAAACTAACTCTTTCTTGAGACTTTTGTGCCTGTTAGGCTGGGGTCTTCTGGCAGCAAGAGCTCAGTGGCCAGGGCACCAGGCATTGCTCAGTTTGTTGTTTCTTCCCAGTGTCCAACAAGCACATTTGTGGACAGCAATCTTATGTACCAGTTCAAAATGAACTTCCGTCGGAGGCGAAGACTATGAGAGCTAAATGAAAAGTCCCCACCTCCCAGGGAGACTCATGATAGTCCGTTCTGCCTGAGGAAGCAGAGCCATGACAATCGGAAATCTACTAGCTTATATGTCAGGTATGCAAGTTCCATTGTTTATGTGCACATATGTCTGTGTCTTTTTAAGAAAGCAGTAATAATTCCTCCTTTGGGAAATTCTCTTCTCCGTTAAATTTTTATTTACTTATCACCAGAAGTATGCACAAAACAAACCAAGTTGTTTGGGAGCAGTTAACTTAAATGCCGTAGTCTGTTTTATGAAACTATGTACTTGAATTACAGAAGAACTCATGCTTTCTTTTTTGTTTTGTTTTATGAGGCAGAATCTTGCTATGTAGCCTCAGTTGCTGGAACTCTCTATGTAACGCCAGGCTGGCCTTGAACCCTGATCGCTCCTTGGCCTCAGCGTGGTGGGGATTTGTGGATCAGGCGTATTTGGGCTCATAGTATCTCAAAATGCCAAATAAGCCAAAAAAAAAAAAAAAAATTAGAAAGAAAAAAATAAATAAAACCAAGAAAGGTGAGATGCTTAAAGGGATGTTTTCAACTCCTGAAAACTTGACACTGACTCAAGGAACTTGTTGGCTTAAGGTTTAGAAGTACCAGGTTTAACCTAGCACAAAATGGAAGTGTCACATCTTGATTATTAATAGGAGTCGATAATTAGAATCTCTATGTATTGAGACATTTCTGTGCCTAGGCACTAAGACAAGCTTGGCTACATGAATTTTTTCACTTAATTCTTACCATGATCTTAGGATAAAGGATTTTCCATATTCTCATTTTATAGATGAAGAAAAATGCACAGAGCAGTTGAAGCTTACCCAAGTTTCAAAGAGACAGAAGAACTGGATATCTCCAGTTCTATCTTTTTTCTAATGCCTACTTTGTACTGCTCCATCCTCAGCCCCATATATCCCAATTTCCTCAGACACAATCAGGCTGGAGGAGAGAATGAAGCAAGAACTACTATGAGAAAATAAAAATTAGCCAAAAGTCAACCATCCAAGCCTGTGCTCCAAGGTCAGCCTGTCCAGGCCTAGAGGACACACAGTTGTATCTCTGTAAGGTTATGGAATTCTGCAAGTGCAGCGTAGCTCTTGCCTTTCCCTCCAGTACAAAGGTTTACCTGTTTTTTGACTGGACCCAGTTCACCTGATCAATGTTGAGGAGCAAGAGGATACAGTTAAGTGTTACACCATAAAGCCAGCATTAAGATTTTGCTTCCTGTATGCCAGGCAGTGGGCAGAACACTCTCCATAGCTTCTTGCATTCACTTATAGACCTTCCCTGTGTTGAGAACTATCTTACTCTGTGCCAGGAAGAACCAAAATCAGAAAACTGAAGACATTGCTTTACATAACACTTTAAGAATCTGAATACGTACTCTGTATATTAAACTTCTTCTTCCATGGTTTCAAGTGATTGATGGCTTGATATTAAATCAGATGGCATTTATTGTCACTGCTAATTCATGCATGTACAGCCAGTACCAAATCCACATCCTGGGAGGGAATACTTGGGTTTGGTACTTCTTGAGATATCTCACATTGACATACATTATATAATCCTTTCCTTGCACCAATCCTGTAAAATAATCTTATTCTCACTTTATAGTTAGGGAAATTGAGGCTCAGAGAACTGAAGGAAATGGTCCAGGTTGTGTGAGTAAATGACAGAGCTGCACCTCAAGTTCTTGCTTTTCTTTTTCCCGGCAAAAGTGACTTGCTTGGCTGTGCCTTGCAGCTGAAGGTCCAGGTGCTCTAGGGAACCCAGACCACCCTGCTCAGTGACCGTGTGTGTTTCCCATTCTGCAGTCAGCCCCAGCAAGGAGATCAAGATTGTGTCTGCTGTAAGGAGAAGCAGTATGAGCAGCTGTGGCAGCAGTGGCTACTTCAGCAGCAGCCCGACCCTCAGCAGCAGCCCCCCTGTGCTCTGCAACCCCAAGTCTGGTGAGTACAGGAAGGGCGGCCATGCTCCTGAATGCAGGGACTCAGGCAGATGTGCAGACTGGCTTCCCTGGGAAAGAGCTTTGGGAAATGGAGGGAGACTAGAAAGTAGTGTGCGCTTGAGTTAACACCTGTTGAATAGAAGGGAGGGAGGTAGAATTGGGCAGAGGAAGAACTCAGTGCAGTCTGTGGTTGACTCCAAAAAGTGCTCTGATGCTGGCACGGTCCTGAACAGTGCCCTGGAGTTGTGTTGACAGAGTTGGGCCTTTGTATCAGCATCTTGACAAATTATTCAATGCTGGGTTTTCCTGAGAGGAAGGCATGACTTGAGTCATGGCAGTGCTCTTCAGAGAAATGATTCCCAAAGTCAGCTGAGGACTTTGGCTGCCATTAGTCTCCTAGCATCTAGAAGTCCCTCAGCCCTCAAAGGAGTTTGAGCAGAGTGCAGCAGTGTTCACTATAGCAGGAGGACTGGTGCTTTCCCAGATTGTCATAAATGCAAAGATGTGACAGAACCTAGCACTTCTAACAAAGAAGAATGGAGGAACACAAACCCACCTATCTCTGGAATTTCTTGGGGTCTCACAGTTTAAAAATCTACTCATCAGCCTCTACAGTCCTTATATTCCAGGAAAAAAATATAGGTTCAAAGACTGTCGATGAACTTGTAGTAAAAAACAATTCTTCCTTGACCCAATAAGTGTTTCAGCACCTCCCTCCTCAGGAACTGGTAACTGATATAGCCCCTTCTTACTATCCCTTACCCACCTTGCATCCTCTCTATTCTTCTTCCCAGGATGAAGTTGTGTGATCCGGCTTTATAATCATCACACAAGAACATTCTCACCTCTATTGCTTAGTACACTTTGTTCCCTTAGCCCAGTGTATCACCTTCACGGAACTTTATTCCTTTTGTTCATGGTTTTTTCCTCCTCTTCAGATGTTGGAGATACAGAGATGAGAGGTCCTCTTAGCTCAGCCAAGAGAAGATCTCCTTGGAGGAAAAACCAAAACATTACCTTAGTGAGAATAAGAACAAATAGATGTTGTTTGAAGGACTCAAAGAGAAAAATGTCATCTGATGCTATTATCTAGGAAGGTGGCTATTTTTCCTGACATAAATTTTTTTCTTGCCTTCTGAGGGGTAGTGGCAGGAATAAAGTTGTAACCTGCAAGTGAATGAAGAAGCATACTCCTACAGTGATCTAGGCTGAAGTCACCGAGTGCCCACGTACTGTTGGGTCTTTCAGTTAATGGATGTGCTGATATGGGAGAATGAGAAAGGAGAATGGAATGCTTAGAAATGGATGTTCAAAACCTAGATAGAAACCTGACAGTCCTCCTCTGAGTTAAAAGCAAATGACCTCAGTTTCGGAAAAAGGGTCAGCTGTGCTCTCCCCATTTTTTGCATATTTTTTTATTTGTAAATGATAGAATATGAACAAGAGGTACATTATTTACATTAGCAACACAGCTGCTGGGGTATAGCTCAGGGACAGAGTACTTATGTAGCCTGTTCAATACCCTGGCTTCCATTCCCAGCACTGCAAAAAAAAAATCATAACACATCCATGTTGCAGGTTATCCTGTTTCCTGTTTCTCCTTAACTTTGGGAAGGCAGAAGAGAAAGCTACCTTTCTTGGGTCTCTAAGGACCAGAGCTGTCAGGACTGAGTTGTGAATCCTACTTCTTACCGTATTCCTGGCAATCTCCCTCGCCCTTTAGAGGGTTCCTAACACCCAGTAAGCTCATCTGTGTGTGTATGGGTTGGGGGGGGGTTCGCCAAAGAGACAGCCAAGACTTCACAGTAAAGCATTCTAAAGTTAACTATTCATATACACCAGGATGTAATTTTAGTTTTGCCCCCCTCCCAAAAAACTATAGCTATTATCATAGTGTCATCATATCATGGAGATGAGTAAGTTTCTAGGCCTATGAGAAAGAAAACTGAAGGCTAATTCTTTGGGCTTCAAGGTTTTTCAACATAATTAAGAGGAAAAGTACATTTAAATAAATTGTCGCTAATGCTGCCAAAAAATCCTGCAGTATGATTCCTGTATCCAGATTCATAGCCCCCCGAGGACTTAAGGACATGGAGAAGGAGTTGTCTGAGGGAATAAGAAAGACCCAATTCCTCAAATGTTCACCACTTTTTTTTTAAACCTCCTATCCATCTATTGAGAGATTCTGTTCCCATAATGGTATTTGACCTACTTCCTCTAGGTTAGTAAGCATAATTTCATTTGCCTTTTTATAAGCTTTCTGAGAACAAAAGTAATAATCCCAGCCACCTGTCACCTCCACAAGAAGCATTTCATGGTGGTAATGGAGAGGGTGCTTGTAGGTCTGGAGCTTACCCAGCAGGCCAGACCAGCTGCCTGGGGATCATGTTGGCCCCCACACTGCTACGCATTTGTCAGGAATGGAGTCTGAACTCTGAATGCCACGAGCAAAGGGAATTGGAGGCTGGTGTTCTTCTAGGCTGGGCTTGGCCCTGGCACCTTCTGTCTCTCTTTAGCACTTAAGTCTATGATGTCCATATAACCGTCAGAATGGTCCCTATCCTCACTGGCTTCTCTGGGAGGCTGAGACAATCCCCTTTCCAGTTCTAGATGAACACAGTTTGGATGGGAAAAATTATTTCCAGTGAGTTTTTACGCAGCTGGCTCTTCCATCTTGGTGGCCACATTAGTGAGACAATGAGAATAGATACCTTGGGGATACACTTCACACCATTGTCTTCCAGAGCTTCAGAGTCAGCATATCACACAGTGTGACACAGTGGCTGTGATTGTGGGCACGGGTATCCAACACCCAAATTTGATCCTAATTCTGCTACCCATTCATTAGATCTGGGACCTTTGACATGGGCAATTTAACTTTTCCAAGCTTGTTTTCGCACATATGAGAATAATGGTGAATCTAACTCATGAGTCCTTGTGGTGATAAAGTGAATGATGGATTTACAGCACCTCGTGTAGGGCCAAGCACATGGGGAGTACTCAGGGAAGTTTGTAGAATTCTTATCCCTCAGGCATAAGGTAGGGTCCACATGGTCCTGTGTTCCCGGGTGTCAAAAAGGGAAGAGTGAAGCTAGTGTATGGGATGTGTGCTGTGTGCTGGGTTTAAGGGTTAAATGGGCTTAGCACCTGAAACAGGGCTGTCAGACTGCCAGAATTAAGGGTATTTTTAATACCTTTGATATTCTTTAATACATGTAAAGATTTAGAGGAAAGAAAAGAGAATTAGAAAACATGGCCTTTTCCTTCATAGAAAAATGTCAACCTTTTCTGACACTCTTGTGTCCCTTCCCTTCACTGTTGTTTTTCGTTTCTCCCCCACCCCTCATAGCACTCTAAGATAGGTTCAGGGTTGTTTATTTACTGATATTTCCTGTCTACTCAGCTACAGTATAAACAGTGGTGCAGGGGTCTTTGCCACCTTAACTCTTTGGCAGTCACGTAAGGGCCATTTAGTAAATATTTGCTGAACGAATGCAGATAGAACCTGAAAGTGCTTATTCCCTGACATGTGTCTGTCTCTCAGTTCTAAAGAGACCTGTCACTTCTGAGGAACTCCTGACTCCTGGGGCTCCATATGCAAGGAAGACATTCACGGTAAGCTTTTGGTTCCTCTATTCCTTTTTCTGCACATTATCAGTATATGCTACCTTATGGACTGAACTGAAAACTTTTTCCTAATTTTCCTTTTGTATAAGTTTTCTTGACCCTAAGGGAATAAAATGCATTAGGACATGGCATGATTTGTTTATTCATATAGCATTTAAATTTTTTTTGATGTGTCACTTTAAAAAAAAAGCTTCTACTATATACTTATTCTAAGGTAATTACAGATTTTTAAGGCAAATAGCAGTACAAATAGTGCCAATAATTTCGCCTGTATTATAGTTAATTCTAAAAATAATTTAAGATTTAGAGTTTTAAGGTAGAGAATGGAAACTATGGAATAAGTTTTTCCTCCATGAGGACTGATACGCTTAATGAACACTGATGCAAAAATCCTCAACAAAATAATGGCAAACCGAATTCAACAACACATCAAAAAGATTATTCACCACGACCAAGTAGGCTTCATCCCAGGAATGGTACGCTTGACAATGTCAGCATGCATTGAGTTGTAAGGGCATGTGACTTGGGAGCTTCTCAGAGCTGTGACTAGCTCCTGACACATGTGCCTTGGAAGTCCTGGACCCTTCCTTCTGCTTTCACCGGCCCCATTGATCTTCAAACAGCACCTCCCTCTTGCTTTGCGCCTGTGCCTTTCTCTCTCAGTCTCCACACACTGACACAACCATCGTCTTTAAAGCCAGTCTCCTCTTTCCTGCTACTTCCTACCTTTTGTCTGTTACCTCAGGGGAAAGCAGTCTTTGCACACTCAGTCCACATGCACACATTCGCCGAGGACTGCTTCCAGTGCCGAGCACTGAGGAGTTAACATAAGAAAGGCAGTGATAAGATGTCTATATCAGGGGAAAGGCAAACTGCACATTTGGAAGCGAAATTAGGTATAAAATATTTATTGCCGCAAACCCTAAATCACTGAAGTGCCTAAAAGTCTTGAGAATCTCACAAAAATTGCATTCGCATTCTTCTCCTCGGTCTCCAGCTTTTAAGAGGAAGTTGGTGGTATGATGAAAGTATTTGTTTTGGGCTTTTCTTTTAAATGCCAGCATTGCGAACGACTGATCGTGATCCTGTTCATCTGTGTTTCAGTTGGTGTACATGTTAAGGGCGTGTCTGGGAGCTGTATAGGGAATGTAACTGCCAATCCTAATAACGATTCTGTAGGAAAAGGCACACGCAGGTTTCAAACAATTTTTGGGTCAGAGTTTACTTGTAAATTGTGAACTTTATGTACTTTTTTCACCTTATTTTCTTGACAGGGAAAATGGGGTTTCAACAAGATTAAAATGATTTATATTTTCCACCATTAATAATTTAAATTGTGATTCTAGACTTCAATGATCTAGCTAGAGAAACAGAATGTCACTTTAAAATCAATCATTGTGACCCACCACATTAATAAATTAAAGAAAAAAATTTATATGAGCATTCAGCAAATGCAGAAAATTTTTTGATAAAATTATGTATTCTTTTGCAATAAAAATTCTATGTAATCAGAAATAGAAGGGAATTCATCAGTATAAGGTAAAATTTGAGGAATAAGACAGAGTCCTGTTACAACTTCAATTTTTTAACAGCCCAATAAAGAGAAAGAAATTAATTGGGTAAGGTTTAGAATCAGAGAAATAAAACTGATATTACTTGCAGATAATCTAATTATGTGTTCTTTTGATTTTCTACTTGCAATGATAAGCTATTGGAATTAATAAGAGGGTTTATATATTTGTTAGAAATAAAAATAAATAGAAGAATATCTTTTCCTTATATCAACAATGAATAAAAAGATAAAATTTAAAAGACTGTAGTTTAAGAAAGAATAAAAATGCTGATAGAATGGCTTATGCACGCTTGCCTAAAATAGTATAAAATTATCTAGTATATAGAAGTAATATGTAAGGCCTTTACAGGAAATATGTAAAATCTTTATTGATTTCACATCTTTAATATTAAGATGTGAGAGGAAAGATACACTATACTCATAGTGGATGTTTTAAGAATATCACTGCTCTCCAACTTATGTTTAGATTCAATACATTTCCAATAATAATTCTAACAAAAAGCTTATCATTTGGATCTAGGGGTAAAGACCAAATTTGGGGTAGCAATTATATCTGGAGAGAAATTTCAGCCATGTTTTTAAGACCTTCTAAATCTCTGTTGGAGTGTGACATGAGATTCTGTACTAGCCTTAGGAAGAGGCCCTTTGCCAGTTATTTACTGAGTAGTGCCCTTCCAAGCAGCTACTTCCTGCCAAAGGAGGTTACCTGTCTCACCACATTTTACGCAGTGATTATGCCTGCGTTTGTGATAGAAGCAAAGTGTTCCATTCCTCTGACAGGGTAGAGATGAAATGGGGAAAAGATATGTCATGGCACTTATTTAATCCTTCACCGGGTTTTCCCTCTCTTGGGGGGAATAGGCAAATTGCCAGGGACTGTCTGCTGATTGCTAACCGTGGTTTTCCTCTCTAGATTGTTGGTGATGCCGTTGGCTGGGGGTTTGTGGTACGAGGAAGTAAGCCATGCCACATCCAGGCTGTGGACCCCAGTGGCCCTGCAGCTGCAGCTGGAATGAAGGTACAAATGCATCATTTGTCACCCACTTTTGTGTCTGTCCTGGGATGCTTAGCCATGATTCTTACTTGCGATTCAAACTCCTCTTATTTTGTGACCTTCCTAAGTTCTTTTTTTTTTTTAAGACAGAGTTTCCCTATGTAGTACATGCTAGCCTTGAACTCACAATCCTCCTGCCTCAGCCTCTGATTACTGGTATTACAGGTATGGGCCAGTTTATCCTTTCTATTTCTTAATCTCCAAATTCCTTAATCTTCCCCTGGATCATCCTTCTCCACTAACAGAACCATCTTTAGCCTTATTTAACTGTTTGGTGACATCCAACTTTCTCTAAATGTTTTGGGTCCATTTTTGCAAAATATTCCTTTTTCCTTTCTGAATGGAGTTGAAATGAAGCCAAGAACAGAGGATGTAGAACAAAGAAAGTTTTCCTGCCCTCCCCCATACCCTGCATTTTTTCTGTGACACTGGGGATTGAACCCAGGGCCTCACTCACAATTGGTGAACTCTCTACCACTTGACCTATGGCCCCAGCCCCTGCCTGTGCCTTTTTAGTCTCCAGACCTTGCTTTTTCACATTTCTCCTCTAAACCAATGCTGAGTTTGGAAAAGAAAAATAAAAGATCTATCTATCTCTCTATATATTTTTTTGCTTAAATATTAGTAACAGCTGCTTCTGGTCTATGCAAGATACATGCCCATGGAGTTTATGCAAGCAGCATGCATACTAGACCACAAAAATAGCACGTATTGAGAAAAAGAAAACAAAACTCATGGAATTTGAATAGGGGATCTGGATTCTTATCTTGGTTCTGCGAGTTATCAGCTCTTTGAAGTAAATTTTGTAACATCTCAGAACCTGTTTCCTCCTGTCTGAAATGACAGTTACATTTTTCTGAGCTCTTTTTGGATTACATACATAGAAAAACTTGATAAAGTGCAAAGAGCCATTCAAGCATCAGATCAGTATTGAATAAGTTTAAGACTGAGTGCTCAGAAGGCTCGAGCAGGATGATCATGAGTTCCAGGCCAACCTGGGCTATGTAGACAGACCTCTTGAAAAGTGTTTTTGAAAGTAATTTTTTAGATACTTTTGGTTCTGAAGTGATACATGTCCAGTCAAGAAAATTTGGAAAGCGTAGACAAGCAAAACAAATTAAAATTACCTATAATCTTTATAATCTTTCCTAACTTACCACTTTATTGAAATATAATTGGCACCTAAGAAAGCGTAGTATTGTTAAAACTTTGATTTATATTTTTTGATTTGGAAACATAGAAAAATTTCGAAAACATAGACAAGCAAAAAAACTCAAAATTACCTATATTCTTTCCTAACTCACCACTTGATCGAAGTATAATTGTCATACAAGAAAGTGTAGTATCATTAATATTTTGATTTACATTTTTCTAGACATATTGAAATACATTGTCTTTCCTTATACAGATATATGATATAAGAGGATGTATTAGTCTTTTACTTTGAAGCTCCTTTGTCTACAGTACAGTTTTATACTGTCCTCTGTGAAATATTTCAGAGGCTATTGATCTCTTGATTACCTGGGATCACTGAAGGATTCAGAAGGCTAGAAAGCTACAGAACATTTTTACCATCCATTTATCTTCATCTTCTTCCATCAAAACTTTCCCTAGTATGGTAAACCAGCATTGCAGTTGGCAAGACTTGAGTCTCCAACCCCCTGGTTTCCAGCATGTGCCCTTTGGCATTGGTTTGCATACTAAAAAAAGTGGTCAGCAAAAACTGGTTTCAAGCAACTTTACTGCTGGTCTAGGTAATCAGTACTGGTATGCTTAAGTGCTGGCTTTGCCCCTGGGTTTGAAGACCATGTTCTGCCAGGTCTTGTGCTCCAGGGAAGCTATGGAAGTCCTTGGCTAAGGCAGTCAGGGGTAGAGTCCCTTCTCTTATCTTCACAAACTTGCAGTGGACACAGCACCGAATAAACTCAGCAGAAGTGTTGGCTAAGTTCTTCAAGGGTGAGCTCTTGTATCCCTGCTGAGGCTAGATTTTTCATTTGCTAATGAAACTCTTGGCTGTAGGAAGGATTTTATATTTTATTTACACAGTAAAGTACCCAGTATAAATTATTTTTGGCATAGCACTTCAGTTCTGAGCATGCATTCATTTGCATGAGGATTTGGCTTTAAAACACATTTCTTTTGAGGAAAGCAATGGATTTCCATTGCAGCTAAAGACCTTGCTTTGCTTATCATCCAAGTATACAGCGAATTTAATTGGTTTTCGTTCATCTCTATTGATTGGCATGCTTAACCATTCTGGGCATTGTCAATTGATTAATTCTTTACTGTACACCTCTCTAGATGGAGTCCTTGATTTTTTTTCTATTTTGTAAGCTAACACTTCATGTAGTTCATATTTTTATTTTCTCTGCAGACACACAATGGTCTTCCTATGTTATAGCTCAGTACAGAATTCACCAGAGCAGCTTTTACCCAATTGTATTATATAGTGATCCTCTGGTTCAGTAAAATGTCCTGCCCTGAGCATCTGTGCTCAAAGCAGCTTTTTAAACTACCACAAATTTCATCCCCTTCTTGGAAATTAACAAATATATAAGCATATTGTAAAATTGTGATAAACCTGGCAGAGGTAAAAATTTGTTTAAATTATTTAACACAGCATTTTATCATTTACAAGAAACACTCAAATGAAATACATACTAGTGTTGTTAATATAACCCTCAAAGTGTTCTAAGATGCTTTGTGGAACTAGGGCTCAAGTGGGAGAGAGTCTGCCTAGTAAACTCGAGGCCCTGAGTTCAAGCCCCAATACCACCAAAAAAAAAAAAAAAAAGTTAATAAGATGCTTTTGGCCAAACCCTGCATTGACAGAAATCTATGGAGATACATTTTTAAAATTATACTGTTGCAAACAACAAAATGGTGGTGAATGTCATACCCGTTGTATAGTTTACCTATGTATATTCATTAGAAATTACTGTGCACATTATTTTCCCACCTAAAATACCAAATAATTACTTCATATTTTAACATATGTACTTGTTTTAGAATAATTTTACTTCCTTAGAAAACCAGTCGTATAATTCAGTCCCAAAGACTTGTTTCCACCTACCTGTCCGATGGCTGCTGCCCCCCTCTAGGAAAGCAGTAAGATTTTGGTTGTGTAGTCTTCAGGGAAGTGCTCGTGGAAGGAGCCTGCATGCCGATTGGCCTGCTTGCTGGTTGACAGAAATTGTCTTTGGTGTTCTGGCCAAAGACTTCCCTTTAGCATCACTGACTAACAGGAGCTTTCCCAGGAGATATAAAGTGGCTGTCTTGCCTTCAGTGTTCCTGTCTACACTGAGTGCGAGCCTCACCTTAGGTCAAGGGTCTGTCTTTCTCCTGATTTCTAATGAGGGCAAACCCCCACATCTGAGCCTTTGTGACTCTTCCATCTAGAGGAATTTGTGTTCTTTTACTCTGACTGCTTAATCTTACTGCTTTACTTGTCCAGAATGTAGGTCATCTTGAAACTAGGTTTCTCATATTTACTATTTCTCTTTCTTTTATTTTACATTGTTACAGAGATCAAAAAATTTTAGGATGTGGGCCACTGAGAAGTCTGAGTGCTATTTTTCTCTGGTTTGCACTTCAAGATTTTTCCAGATCCAAAGGATAGCTCTTTGCCTGGTTTAAATGTAAATGTTGATCCATGACTAGGGGCCACTTCCATGGCTACTTTACATCTTTAGAAAGTCTGGGAAAGTGGTAAGGGCTACTTCAGTTCTCTCTGGTCTGGAGTAGATAATTTGTGAACTTCATATTTCAGCCACAACTAGTTCCCCACAGCTCTTCGTGCCATGAACTCTATAGAACTGATTTGAGCTGGTGGGACCTGAACCATCAGTTAAGGTGTTGGGGGACTATTGCAATGCATACCAGGAGCACATAAATATGTGGATATCTAGCCTGATTTCAGGTGCAATGGTATTGGATTTTGGTGACATATTTGACTCTTACACCCTCTCAAGCTTGTTTGAATTTTTGTTTCCACTCCAATCTGTTTCTCTTATTCCCTTCCCCGTGTTTTGTTTCCAAAGACGAGAAAAAGAATATATGTTACAAAAGAGGCCTTAAACTCTAATACCTTTATTTTTAGTTTTGTCTAAATCAAGACCCGTATAACAAAGACAAGTTATTTTATCTTTTCGCATAAGTTGCTACCCCCCCTCCCATTGTTAACAGCGCTGATGCCGTCTGTGATAATTCCTGTGATAAGAATTCCAAATACTTTGTATCCTACCAGAAAGAATTTGTGGCAAGACACATGAGTGTAAAGGGAGTTTATTAAAAGTTAGGAAAGAGAAATACAAAGGGAAGCATGGTGGGGCCCATGTGAAGCTGGAAGCTGAGACAGTGTTTTTTTTTTTTTTCATGTGCCTTTAAAACCTACACTACCCCATTGGGAGGGCAGGCCCAGGAGGTTCCCACCCAATAATAAACAAGTGGGGAGAAGCATAGGCGGTTCTCAGCTAGGTGAGGGTGGTCTGGTCCATCCCCAGGCAACCTACATGAGCCCCAAACTTTTCCTACTTCTAGCCTGCCTTACCATGTTCAGAGAACAGTGGCTATGTTGTTAAAATTCTCACTCCATACAGCATTTTTATTTAGAGTTATTTATTTAGCATTAGAATTTAGAGTTACATATTTTGAAATTTCTTTTACTTAAAAAATAAAATCTGCAAACTTCTGTTTAGAGGACCTTTCGTTTGTTCTATGACTCTAGAATGTCACGTGAAATATGTCACAGGCTTGGTCGACCCATGCAATGCATTCGGACCAAGATCAAGTTCTTTCTTGCATATTCCCTTTGCTGACGCTTCATCCTTTAGAAATTTTGTACTAGTAGCTGCTTTTCCTTTCAATGCAAAGGGGGAAGGAGAAAACAGAGTGTATCCTATGTATCTGGCCCTGCACCATGTTAGATCCTGTTCCTATATAATCTTATTGAGTGTCAGCATCAA